TATGAGTCAAATCACCAAGAGTCTTAACTCCTGTCATCCCAAAGACGTCAGAAGACCAGGTTACACATCTCCTACACAGATCACACTAACCAGAGACATCATAAACTGGTTTAACCAAGCTTCGATCCCGTACAACCTAATCATGTCTAGGCTACCATCATCCATCAAAGTAGGTGGTAACTCAACACGCGTAAAACACGTCTAAGCTACCTTAGTCACTGAAGACTAACAATTTTATCGACCGACTTGCTTTTCTTCTGTAGTACTTTATGCCTAACCTCAACAAGGTTCACTATCATTTCATTACACGTGAACAAACAAATTAAGGTTTCAAGTGGTTCTGCTTGTGATGTTGGCGAACATAAACTTACGCGTACAGAAATAATGGTAGATAAATTCCAAAAGTAAGCGTAAGATTAGTGAGTATGTAGACAATTAAGATTCAACTCTAATAGTTGTACACAGTACTCAACTCAAGTTATACTGTGAGTTTATATATTAGAATAAGCGAAAGTCTGCTTAAACCTTGGGCTACCGAAAAACTTTCACCCAAGATTCTTCCTTTTCAATTTGTTCTGATCTTTCAAATGCGTCTTTTAAACGCAACATGTACTCTCTCAGGCTTTGAAGATGGTTTCAAACTGTCACTATCCAAGCTAACAAAAAACTATACGCCAGTAAGAGATGGACTTATAAATGCACAGGAATACACTAAATTACTATTCATTGGATAACTATATTGAATCGCAGATTTTGGTTCTGGTTGGATTAAATACCACCACCACCACCAAAATAACGCCCGATTTTCTATTCATTTACCAGTCCAAACCATACACTAATGTAATACTGAGTGCCTGTTTCACATTTTGGCTTTTACTACTGTTGCTTTGAAAATTATTCAAATACAATGATTATTTTACTTAAAGACATTGTACGGGACTACTATATGCTGTACTACACATGTTGCTTGAAACGAAGCTATTATCATTATTTTTTGTTATTATTATTATTATTATTATTATTATTATTATTATTATTATTATTATTATTATTATTATTATTATTATTATTATTATTATTAGGGAAAAGAAAAGCTGACACACCTAAAATGGAATGAAATTTCTAGAATCCTAGCGTTTTGTGCACACAGTAATCCTTATTCAGTTGGTTGGAAGTAATCGGCAGTAAACTTTGTATCTGGTTTACATGCCTGTTGGCACCGCGAAAAAACAGCTTCATAGCTTAGTGTAACCACACTGCAAAATGATCGAAAGAATTCAGTCAGCACTCTGGAACCTTGCATATAAATGCATCATCTCAAGTTGCTACACTTCACAGTACTACACAAAGAACGGGTGGATGGAAAACGTGTTATCAAAGTACATAAAGTAGTAGGAGAGAATAAACATTCTGAAGATAACAGTTAGTGAGAACATACAAGCTTTAGAAAATATCAATAATTAATACATCTGCACCGATGTGACCGGTTTTCAGCTACCACCAAGACTCCTAAACCACTGATTCCTATCGTCTCGTGGACCCCAGTCAGTTAGTCTACATCGCCCCGCACGACTCAGACCAACAACCGCGTCTTGATTTGGTTACCATAAACCCTCTTCCAACCTAATCGAAATTCCCCTGACATGCACGTCGAGGTAGGTGGTGGCTCGGCATGTGCAGTACACATCTAAGCCATTTCAGTCGAATGAGGTTCACAAGCTCATCAGTTGACTTGCATATCTTACCTAGTAACCTTCACCCAACCTCAACAATGCTCACATGGTAATGCCACCAGAAGTGAGAAATGTTACAAAGACATCTGTGATCAAACCATGTTAACACTTTATATCTTCCACTTTCAACAGCCATGTTTTACAGCTGTACAACGAGGCAGGACAGAATGCAGCACAATATACTCCTCCTTTGATAGATAGTCGAATACTTCGCCAGTCTGAGCCATAGATGACGAAGGTCGGCCTTCTCTATCCCCAAAAGTAAGTGAAGTGCTCTTTGAAAGCAGTTTAGCTGACCCACTGCTCCGGCATCTTCAGTCTCAATGTATCGTGCTCCATGGTCAGTTAACACTGACCCACCTAACGAAACAGAGGTCCATAACGAACTCCAAGTTCTGGAACACCGCAGGGCACTCAGCCCACACAACTTACTCCCGGCTCATTTTAAGGATAGAGGAATGACTCTAGTCAGAGAACTGACCAGATTGTTTAAGATATGGAGGACTGAGAGTGTCCCATCACTCTGGAATGAAACCATCGTTGTACCCATCTTTAAGAAGGGTCTATCCAATGTATGTGACAATCGTTGGGTATTAGTCTGTTACCAGTTGCGTCGAAAATACTAGCTGTTATCATACTCCACGGACTTTGCAAAACGCGTGAGAAAATAATTCGGGAGGAGCAGGCCCGGTTTCTTTCAGGTCTCAGATGCATTGACCACGTGTTTACCCTCCACCTGATGCTTGAACATCACTACACGTATTGCAGGCCAACAATCGTTGTGTTTCGTGACATTACGACTCCCTTCAATTTGGTGAACAAAGCTGTGCTCTGGAGAGCGGCATGCCTTATAAACTTATTGACATCTTGAAAACCCTATATAATAACACCTCAGATAGAGTGGGGGCACACAACCACCTGTATCCACTGTTCCAAAACCAGTAGTGGGTTCAGGCAGGGTCATCCGATTTCCCCGTTTCTTTTTAACTTCGCCATCGAGGACATTCTTGGGACAGCTGTGGAGGATGTGCGTGATGGTGGTGTACATCTACCACACGGAGATCGACTATTTGACCTTGAATGTACGGACGATGTCATCTTACTGCTCGATCACACACAAGTTACTCAAATCACACTTAATCAGTTGGCAACTAGTGTCTGTAGGTGTGGTAAGGTATATGCTTTGCACCATCGAAGTGCAGAGTACTTTTGCAAGATTGGCAGGAGACTATGCCTGCGCTCACCCTCGGTGGTGAGCCATCGAAAGTAGTCGGAAAGTTCGTGTGTCTGGGCAGTTGTGTGAATGCTGGTGGAGGTGAGTGATGCAATTTCTAACCGCATATCGGAAGCCAGAGTGGAGCAGTCGCAACGTTAGTCTGGCCGTAAAAGGTCGTGTTTACAACGCGTTGGTGTGAACAGTTCCGCTTTACGACTGTGAAACCTGGCCTCTCCGAGTTGAGGATGTGCGATGACTCCGTGCGTTTGACCATATTTTTTCCGTAGGATTGCTCGTATCCAGTTACAACATGATCTAAGTAACTTTGACGTACGACAGCGTGTGTTCGGTCAGGATGGAGATCGTTATTTAATAAGTGAACTTGTCTGTAAACACGGGCTTCGGTGGCTTGCACGCGTGCTACACACGTCGTCCCATCGTCTAGGGTTAGGATGATCCATTTATTGGCGCATTGCAACTCCCTGGTTGAGGTCCGAGAGATCGTGCAACTCAGTGGTTCGAGAGGTTATCAGATATGCCTCAGAATTCAGACCAGTGGCGGTCGTGCTGTAGCTTTCTCCTGTCTTCTGTTGCTGAAATATAATTTATGTTTTATTTTGAACGTATCTTATTGAAATGCCTTTATAATTATGCTGTTCCTATTGTTTTTCTTTTTACGCGCTTCCCTTTCCTTTGACTTCATAGTGTTGTATTATTTTATGATGCATTTATTGGTTTCTTCTTTGTACCAGCTTTGTGCTGTAATAACAGTAATAATGCCCAGGTGAGGTCAATTTAATAACTCGGGTCCTGTTTACATACATTTATCAGAAACACAGCATACATCTATGGTTAGAGATTCCAGAGTTCTGGAGAGCGATACTTTCTTTTTGATTTGGCATAGAATTCGGACGTCGAAAGCTTTTACATGAAATCGATGGTGGGTGAAGTCTTAAGGAGACTAGGAATGAGGTTTCGATGGCTGTGGTCATTGGCAATGGTTACAGAGTGAGAGGTTGGGTAAGGCGAAAGAGACTCAATATCAGTTTCAGGAGGCGACGGCAAAGGAGAAGACAGAAATGAGGTGGGTGGGTTATGTTTGGTTGGATCTTGTTTACTACTGGAAGCGTATGGGCAGTTGATACTTTTGCTCACACCGTGGAAGGTTGGTTCTTCTCAAGGTACCTCAAAAAAAGGATAGTTGTGGGCGCAGAACCCAAGGGGATACTGCTTGAGGCCAGTTATATGCGGCTTTTTTGCAAGTTTGAAATTTTGGTTTTTTGCTTTCCAATTCGACTATAAATCCTTGTCGAAGGCATTCGCACACTGTGAGACGTGAGGGTGCTATTTTAAGTGCAGACCTTTTGTAACTTACATGAGATTGGTTTCTTTTCAGTGACAAATCAGAGTAGTTAACCCCAAGTCTTTTTACTTTTGTGAGCTTTGTTCATCATACTATATTGCGTTACTTAGTTTAAGCGACAGTTGACCACAAATAATGAAATAACTGATTCGCTACAGATTGGAACTGAAATTCTAAGCGGGGAAATAAGTTTCAGTTAGTTTTGTAAGATTCCATGTTTAACAGTATAGCTGTTCAGTATTTTCTAACACTCCCGAGGATGGACTCGAAAACCGGTAAGAGTGAGAATGTTCATGTAAACTCTTATACTATTTTTGCTAGTAACGAAGAATGACAAATACAATTGCAGGTTAGTACGGTTGATTGATTTCAAGGCAGTATCCACTACAGTATGACTTAAGTTTAAGAAAAACCGAAAACCTTAAGGCACTGAACATCTGTTTCGTTATAACATGAGACTCTTCAACAGTGCACATCCACGACGCCTCAAAACCAAAACTTCCAGGTCTTTTAAAAAAGCACGTTAGTATTCAGCCTCTGATTTGAAATCCAACGATACACATTTCCCACTTCAGTCAGTCCATGAAATAGCGCGAAACCTGCCAGCACAGAGAGCTGTGGGTGTGCACTACTGTTTACCAAAATCCCCAAGAATAACAACCTTGACAAAGTGGAAATGAAAACTAACCTTGACTGCGTTTTGAAACTTTAAAGGTTCAGACATAATCAAAGATGAGTCCAAGAAAAAAGCGGTCGGTAAATGCCCAGCATTATATTGCTCAGCAGGGCGACAATCGACAAGAAGATAGCGAAGATCGGACGGTTCATCCACCAACGTAATCGAGGAGTTACTTACACCGTATTCTTGTAAGTACATTGATTGTGCATCCAAAACTTCTTGAATGGTAATTGGCATACACAATGCCTCAGATAAAACCGCACGTTCTGATTCCAGTTGGGCGTTACCAAAAAGTATGGGGAGATAACGAGACCGGAATGATGCAGGTGTATTATTAATGAAAACCTCGGTAATTTCGATAAGACTTGTTAAGTCACCAACACGCATGGGTTTCGGTAGGTTAATCAGTATATTTTTAACCTTTTCTACAAACACAAAAAAAAACCATTAGAAGGCTTAAAATCAATTATTTCTATTAGAACTTTCTCGATGGATATTTCAATCGCTTAGCAGTAAAAACCTCTATTTACACACGCACGTGTATCACAGTAGTCGCCGCCAGGAAAATGAACCGCATACTGATTTGCTGTTCTAACAATATTAGTGTGTGAATGAATGCATATTGTAATCCACATCCCGAGTTGTTACAAATATGTACTTTTTACTCAATAGTTTCTCTTTTTGCAAGAGCAGAAGTTGAAAAACCTGTTTGCTTATAGGGAAATTGCTTCGGCATGCAAGGTAGATTCACCACAGTACTTAGCAAAAACGTCAATACCAGTGTATAAGTTGGGCACACTAGTAGAAAGTAATTCTATTTTAGATTTGTTATTTGATTTATCACATATAATGATACAGTATTATTTACTTGATAACGTTTCAAGCATAAATTATGTATTATATCGCCGAGTTTTCTCCTAGATTAGGGTCTATCATCGTAAATATATATATAAGATGACAGACTCCAATCTAGAAGAAAACTCGGCGATTGCAATGCATGCGTTAACACACAAGCCCACACAGTAGAATGGGATAAAACCACTATACTTAAGTCAAATACAATTCGGTGAAGAGATTGATCACTATATCTTTGTTAATCCATGTAATAAATACGATGCAACACCTATAGAGATATGGAAAACTTTACTACCAATAAAAACAAAGAATACAGGGTGACACGACTACAAAAATTGACTATTGGAAGTGGTAAGATTACAATGAAATGCTTATGAGCAATAAATTATGATCGAAACCGTATCAAGTAAATAATAACTACAACACTGTGCGACAAATCAAATAAACAAATCTAATATGAAATGTCAATACTGAATAAACTCTTCTGAAATCTATTCTCTTAACATTAATTGTTAACATTATGCTAACAGGTATAATATGTAGAGTAAAATTTGACAAAAGTGCAGTTGTTAAAGCGGTTTTATAAAAGCATTTGACAGAATCCACATTGATTTACAAATAAAAAAGATAGCTGTCAAAAACGGTGTTGTAGTATTCCCAGTAATTATGAACTCGTACAAGTTACGATTGCTCATAAAAAAAATGAAAGGGGAAAAAGCAAACCATGATGAATCAGAAGGAGGATAAAAAAATGGAAAACAAAATTATAAATGTTCAAGATTTATGGGAAGATTAACACTTAATAAATATGCATCAGAGTAATCTTTTCCGAAAAGCCTTAACTACAGGCTTCTAAATTTTGATAATTTTAAACATTTGGCATACCTGAACTAAGGTAAACGATACACCTGAACATTGTACTCAGTGACCTATCTGTATTTCCTTCACAAACAGATGTTTCCATTAGACATCACAGTCGATAACGCCCATTTTTATCTACGAATCTGTTATAGTGTGCACATTGACAAAATCTACAAAAGAGGATGTATATCTCTGAAGCCTTTTACAAACAATCGGTTGAATCGAAGTTTCGAGAGAAAGCACGTCGACCGAAGTGTAGATAACAAATCAGTTGAAGGGAAGAAAACCAATTTATTATTCTTTCCCTTGAGATCCAAGTTAAACAAAGGGCTTCAGTAGCACGTCGCCGTTCCACTCTGTCCTCTGCAGTCTTTTTAACCTGGCTCCACCACTGCCCAGAAACTTTCATTTCTTCCTCACACCACTTCCTTCATGTCACCCTCGCCTCGGACGCCCAACTCGTCGTTTCCCCTTTCAATTCCACTTGACGGCTTGGCGCTTGATGTCCTCGAATGGTCTTCTCAGTGCATGCCCAATCCAATCCACCTACACTTTCTTCTGCGTATCTCTGTTGGACGATAAGTTCTTGGTTGGTCCGTTGCCAGGCCAGAGTTCCTTGTCACTTATTCTTTCTGGCCTTCTGATCTAATCTTCAGTACCGAGTGAGCGTAGGCGGCAGATGTTGATGAATGTCTGTAGTTTGTTGGAAATGCTTTTCGTAACGCCCCAAGTCTCTGGACCATCACATGGGAGCACTGACCTGACTGAATTAGTGTTGAGAATCCGGATTTTGTTTTTTGTGCTGAGTGCAATAGATCTCCACACTGGTTTCAGATTAATGAACGCTAGTCTTGCTCCTCCGATGCTGGGTTTGACGCCCTCATCTGTGTCACCACCTGTAGTTGAAACGATGCTGCCTGGGCACGTCAGTAAAAGAGACCACTTCTCTTAGATTTCTCACGTTGATGGTTGTTGTTGGTTGGGCATCTTCATAACCTCTGTATTCTCTAAGTTCACATGAAGGAAGTCCCATCCTCGCTGCCTCTTCTATTAACTTGTTCGTTTTCGCCTGTAGAACTTCGAGTTTTTACGATATTAGACACAACTCATCATCGGCGAAACCCAAATCTTCTAGAGTCTTTTAATCGGTCCAGCCAGCGTATGCCCCTCTTCCCACTCTTCACAGTTTGTTGCATGATCCAGCCAGTCCAGTCCAGTCGATCACAATCATGAAGATGATTGATGATAGTAGGTGGCAACCTTGTCCTACTCCTGTCTTCACTTCAAAGGCGTCACTGTGCTTTCCATTATGATCATTTGGCATGTCGCATCCTCATATAGCATATAGCTGTTGGATAAGGTTGATAAAGGTTTGTGGCACTAATCCCGTAGTGTTGAAGCAGTTGTCAAATTACTTTTGGGTCGACGCTGTCGAAGGCCTCTTCAAAATCGATGAAGTTGAGGTAGAGAGTTGACTGCCTATAGGATATTCAAATCTAGGAAGGTTTGGAAACAGCTAAAAATCGTTGCAAATACATTGGAACTCTTGAAGTTTGTACATATTTTTGACACCTAATACACCGTTATATTACCGCCATATCCATTTGTCGACAAACTGAGCTAACATCAAGAAGTGGAATTGAAAGCTGTTTTTCAAGTGTCCCGACACATATATAAATTAGGTTATATCAAGTAGTCACTACAAGAATATAACAAGTGACAAGGTTATTACAAGCAGCTACTAGGTTATAAAAGAATCAAAAGATATTACTAATATGAACAGTAGTCAGCTGTACTACAAAATTCAAAACAGCATTAAAAACTGGTTACTTATATACATCTAACTGTTTCCATGACAGTTTTAAACATAGACAAGTTGACGAAGAATTTGTTTGGATTCGTTTATCGAATCAACAACAATTACGTGCAACAGGAAAGCCTCGGCACCTGTTTCATATATATATGGAAAATTCTACTACTTATATCAAAAAGGCGAGAGAATTAAAACTGTACACACCATGTCTCAAAGTCGTGAGGTCATCTTGATATGAATATGGACAATAAATAATGTCCAAAGCGTTATCCAGTAAATAATAGTTTTACTGTGTGACATAAAAAAATAAAATGATATGCACAACAGACTTCAGAAAAAATTTTTATGCTTCAAAAAGTGGAACAAAAATGTTGACACTTGCACTAAATATTTTACTGTTCTAGAAGCAAAACCGACAACTTACAAAATGCGAAAACACAGTTATATTACGCTTATAACTAAGATATTATTACATTTTACAAGATTATACCAGTAAAAGTCAGACTGAAGAAAACTTATACATAGTACATCTGAAGAAAGCAGTAACTTGTGAATATGTTTAGTAGTGGAGCAGAGAAAGTCACCAGGATTAAAGTCAGGAAAATAAGTCACCAAAAAACTTCCAGCGTTTCTTGGATTTCTAAACATTCTCTTGTAGAGATATGAATAATACTGTTTATATTGATTTACGGTAGTTCTAATGATGAACTAGACATGGATTAATTCAAGTTATTTCCCTATTCCAAGTCTCACTTTCAGACAAATAAATATGACGTAAAATTTCTCACAATAATCCATTTGTTTACTTTTTACTACCTAGCAACAACAAGAACGGAAAATGAATAGAAGTGGTAAAACGCAAAATCAGCAAAAAGTCCATGGGTAGAGAAAATAACAAATAAGTACGAAATTATAAGGTGTTCAAGTAATTCAGAGTTCAAAAATAAACACATCTTTATCACTGACTATGATTGTTATTTTAAGTAACCTTCGGTATCCAATTATTGATTCCTAGCACCAAACAGTCTACACCTTTTCATATGACTCAGATACATAACCTAAAATGCAATCCCATGTAGGTCACCGATTGATACTATCATTGAAACATAAATTATCGACATATTATATCCCAAAAAACCCATCCTGACAGATTTTAATCCTTTCCAGCAAAACAATTTACCTTACAAAAGTTTGGCTGTCGATCACTCCGGACTACTAGCAACGACAACAAATGTGTAAATGTACTTCAGTAACCGCATATGAGGTTCACATAACAGGTCGTGAGTTAAGGAAATTCCCCAACTCCCAAGGTCAAAAACCGTTGAGTGGGTAGTAACCTAAAAGTGCAGAACCTAGACCATGAAACTTGAACATGACTACTTGAGTTTCAAATAAGTATTTTGAAGCGATTGTGCACACAACCCAATTACTTTAGATATAGACAAATGGGACAAGTGAAATGTTAACAACATACCAACAGTAGCTTGATTAACAATGGAATAAAGTTGATTTTCTGCGCATGATTCTTCTCCATCACCTGTTTCATCCACAGATCGATCAAGTAAACAGGATTTAGCATTTACAATAAGAAGTAGACCAATGTAGAATCCAAGCAAAGGGTCTGACTTCAGAAGTACACATCCCATAGTGACGGTATTACGTCGTCAGATATGAAATCTGCGAAAAGACTTGATATCCAAGGTATGAAGTAATTTTCGGGACTAATTTTAAACGAATCCAGAAACTGCACAACTTTGGTTCATGATATTGTAGCAACAAACGGAAAACCATGCTGACACACTGATCGATATTGACTCCTGTAGCAATGAAACGATGATAGAATGAAACAAAACTCGCGTACAGCTCTGATCGGTTAGCTGGCTTCAAAACAATGTACAATACTTTAAGTATTGACACCCAACCATTAGAAGACCTATAATTGAGTGCATACGTCTGAGCAAAATGTGTTAACACTGATTCGAAATCACTGGATATCTTTGCAGCCGGAGCAAGAAAGGTATTGGAGGTGAACCTTCTGAGTCCAAGTCATCATTATCACTACTTATAGAAAGACTAGAAGGATTTTTTAACTGCTGAAGATTATACTGTTTATTCAGACGTTGAAATATTTCAGCAGAAGCTAATTCACATTCATCATGAAGCTCTGACTGGTTTTCTAACTCGAAAATGTCGTTAAATTCAGCCATCGCTTGCGAATGGGCATCCAGCCTAAGGCATATGCGCCAGACGTCAGGGCGCAGGTTGTCAGGAACAGGGCGCATAGCGCAAATATCACGAATCTTAAAAATGTCAGCATCCTCTGGAAATATGAAAAAATTGACAACGAATAAAGCTGGAATACTAATAGTAAAAGTAGCTGTTTACAAAAATGTGAAAAATCTTAACTTTCATGACCAGCTGGATAAGGTAATGAATGAAATAATCAGGAAACACAAAGAAAGTCCTCACAAACACTGAAAAGAACTATTTAAGAACGACTTGCCTTACAAACTAGCCAAATAACTGGAGTGAATCAGTGACTATTAGATAACTTCCCACTTATAGCAACTTCCAAAAAACCAATCACCTTGCTAACAGTTGTATGTCTTAGCAACTCAGCGAAGCTATAAATTTGAAAAGAACTGGGTACATTATCCCTACAATTCCACACACTGGTACAAATGTATCCGGATCAATATTTAGTTAAAATTGGAACGACTGAGTATTAATATTGAGACAGTATTGATTTTACGCTGGTAAGTATGTAAACCCAGTATTTAAGATGCCCAATGCCATCGTGTCATTAAGGGATATGTAGGTTTCTTAACATCTCCATTATATAAAGAAAAATATTTCCTACCACTAAATATTTATGACCAAGCATATAAAGGGTGAAAATAACGAAAAAATTTATCAGACATAAAAGTACTGGCGTAGGTACCTTATTTTTAATCAGTAAGTCGCGCGTGCAAACCCCACTCCACTTAACGAGGATTATACGATCAGGCAGCATTGTCAGCCCACAGACAATGGATGCAGGTTGATGCCTGCTGCACGAACTTTTTTAGGTACATGTAGTTCCTTTGCTTTCAAAAGCGTTGTAATATAATAAGTGGCGGTGAAATCATGACATGATTTTGAGCGCAGCTACTCCCAAGGAGTACTGTTGCGTAACGTGTAAAATCCTATGAATCTTAAATAAAATAACTTATTGCAGAGAGATGAGTCGCATTCAACTTTTCAAAATAGAATTTAAGTAACTTAAACCAATAGACAATCATCATCATCATCATTATCAACATAGGACCAGGCATTACTGCGTAACGGTCCGAGTTGCCACACCTCATATCAGCACATCAAGTAAAAAGGTAGTGAGGTGAAGGATGAAGATAAGTGAATGCAGTCAAAAGAAATATAAAGTATGAGAAGAAAGGAAAGAGGAGTGACAAAATAGTGAGATTCGGTATAGCGTTGTTAAGATGAGGATAATGTGTGTATACATCTGCGCCACTGACTTCGGTTCTGAGCCATATCACCTAGGGTCTCCAACCACTGGTTCCTCTTGTCCCGTGGACCCCAACCACCTAGTCTGCATCGTCCTACATGGCTTAAACCAACAGTCAGAGACTTCATACATTGGTGCCATGTTTTAGTCTGGCCACCTCGGGCCTTTTTCCAGCCTGAACCCACCTCAGCCAACATTGTGTGACGAGGCAATCGGTGACTAGGCATACGTAGTACGTGTCCCAACCATCTCAGTCGATGAAGGTTCACAACCTCGTCGACTGACTTACCTCTTCTCCCTAAAACTCTACACCTAACTTCTGCATTACTCACATGGTGACACCACGGAATACGTCCTATACTACGAAGGCAACGGTGGTCAAATACCTGTAACCTTCTCATGTCTTCCACTTTCAATGGCCATGTTTCACAGCCATACAGTAGAACAGAGCGGACTGCTGTGCAGTACACGCGACCCTTAATAGACAAACGAATATCACGGCGGCGCCATAGGTGGCGCAAATTGGCAAAAGCCAATCGAGCCTTTTGTATCCGTGCAGAAATCTCATCGGCAACTAACCCACCGGGTTGATCCTACTTCCCAGGTAAGTGAAGTGGTCAACACACTCAACCACTTCACTCTCTATTGTTAACCGCGGTACCGCTGAAGACCAGTCCTGGAGCAAAAATTTGCATTTGGGTGGTGAAAATCGCATCCCAAACATTCTCAAATTCCCACTCAAAGTGTTCAGAAGACTCTGCATCTTGTCAGCGTCTTCACCTAACAGGACTATGTCATCTGCATATTCTAGATCTAAGGAAAATTCACCTGTGATCCGGTCAACGTCTTTGTAATTAGGTGACGAGAGGGAAACCTCCATAAGAATATCTATGATAAAATTAAATAAGAATGGGGATAGTGGGCATCCTTGACGGACACCACTTGATGAGTATAGCTCCCTGGACAACTCACCATAGGCTCTAACATGCCCACAAGTGTTCGAGTAGAGAGCTTTCAATAAGGTGATGTACTTACTAGGCACGCCTTTCAGTGACAGACACTGCCATAAGACTTCTCGATCAATCACTCAAATCAGATTTAGTGCAGCAATGAAAATGCATAGACTAGGGTAGTGATATCCTACAAACATTTTAAAACTGACAAAATTTGTTCGAAGATGACATCTATTAGTCATGTTTTATCTGATTATCAAGTCACTTCATATGAAGATTTTATCACTAGATTGCTTCCTACTTTCAAACAGGAATAAATATCACGAAAACAGATCTCAAAGCTGTCAGCAATAAAAGGAAATGTTTGAAACAATTAGTCCGTTTTATAAATTTGGATGCATAATTGTTTAGATAAACGTCACCTAATTACACTGCAAAATAAAATGTACCAATCCCAAACCTTGTGCGACTACGTCTTCATAACTGAAGAAAGATTTGTGTTAAGAAAGTTTGAGGAAAATTGATTGGTTTCGTAGAAATTTACATCTCCGATATACGCAGTTTGCAACACAGTGAAAACCACGGAGCATGGAATAGCCTCTATGTCCTAGCTCGGAATTCTTCAACAATGAAGACCCATGAAATCATTCGCCATCGAATACCGGGCCATTATGTTTCGCGTTTACAAGTTACCAATAAGCCACAGTGTCAGAATTCAAGATGATGGAGAGAGATGACTGCATTCGAAAACACGCTATATATATATATATATATATATATATATATATATATATATATATATAATATATATATATATATATATATATATATATATATATATATATATATATATACTGAGATCTAGTGTAACTAGTTAAAATCAATGGGATCTCAATGGAAAATGTCTGGTATTACAACCTATAAGACATACCAAATATAAACAGATACACCACTCTAAATGTACGGTAAACAAGTTTAAAGAAACAGGGAAAACTAACAGAAAGAACTACTTCACGAAGTCTCTAATTTGCTCCAGAAATATTCACAGTAACTATCAGTGCATTACGCAGGGTGATAAAACACATATTAACGCATTTTTGTACGTATCAGATGTGAGCAACTATATTCTCCGTAATACAACTTATCTAATTGCAATGCGTTTGCCATACACATTGGGACGATATACGTAGACTACCGTACGTCATTCAGACTCTTTCACAAAAAAACTAAGGAGAAAAAGAAGTGAATTCAAATTTACTCCTAAATACTCCAAAACTATTTTGGGTTCTTGCTAAGTCAAATTATCAAGTGCTATGTGACCATAGATGATCAAAATCTACAGTCTGAAAGACAGTATACCGAGTAACCTGGCAGTATAAATTCCTGTGAAGACCCGGTCTCACCTTAATAGTTGCAACCAGAAGTTCTGGTAGTTGACTAGCCTGTGGAAGAATCTGAGTCGCACTCGTTGTTTATCCGATCGTGGTTTCTGGACCTTTCTGTAGTGACCTCTTAGATAACCAGTCTTGTGAGCAAAAAGATTGGAGATCAATAACTCAGTACCCGTTCCAGAGTACCTGCTTCTTGCTTAAAGCAAGGACTAGCTGTTTGTATCCAGTATTCGAGAAGGTTCTACCTAACCAGGAGAGCACTTAAGGGCCCTACGGAGTAGCATGAGAAATGCATTGACTGTGGACGCGTTAGTGTGCCCTTGTTTTCAAGCACTGGCTGATAAAAACCTTAGGTGGTTTTCCTCACTGACCCAAGGCAATACTGACCCATCCAATGATTAAAAGTAGTTGAACTCTTGACTGATGTGCATTACTGCACTTCCACTAGAGATCATTCCCAGACTTTAGCGTATAGAGCTGTTGTTCAATTAATTAGTCAATCTGGAGTGCTAACCTAATTTTATTATCATGAACGACCCTCTAAACCCTACGTCATATACAAATAGTAAGGATAACTCAAGCATACCTGGTAATTCTTCACTATAGGATAGAAACAAAGGATACCCAAGTAAAGCGCCCTGAAGAACCCTACAGGTAACTGTTTTCCAGTCAGATAATACTCCATTCATACTGACACTTTGCCTTCCACCATACAGGTAGTCAGGAATTCACTCCTGAATGTTGACTTTTATACCAAAACCAACGCTTTCTTAGCAAGCCCAAGTGAGACAGATTACCAAACTCTAAGCTAAAAATCAATAAATACCAGGACGGGCATATTATTATTCCTGACTTTCATTCATTCCTTCCTAGCAAAAAAACGTTCGTTAGACAGGATCGTCCCGGTCAGAATCCCTTGTGTGCCCTTGTGTCAGTCAGCTATCTGTTTCCAGACTACTAGGCAATTTGTCCCTCATTTCCTCCAAAGCTTTCACGTCTGTAAGAATCAAGCTAATATGACGATACCAACTAGTTGACCGCTACCATCCTTGGAAACGGAGTACACCGCGACATCTCGATCCCTATGCACCCAAACCTCGAAAGGACAAACATCGAACATTTCTGTGGGCAGTTTATTAATAATGTCAGCCAGTTTCAGTAAAACCTTCGTATACAAACCGAGTTTCAGGTTATTTAGTTATTTAAGCGGCCTTGCCATTCACCAAACAGGTAGTCCAATTTCCGGTTATTACGTAAAATATACCACTTCAGCTTGTGTTAGCCTTTATAGTTAGTCTCCCTGCAAAGATCTAGTTTCTTTTGCAAAATATTCACCATAAGGGCTAACACAACTTGTCCAGGTTCACAGTAATTGATTTACAAGTATCAGGGATTTATCCAAACAAATTTTAAATTTTACAGTTACCCAGGAGAGCAATCTCAAGATTCACTTTCCAGGACTCATCAACCTCAGTCTCGTCTGATGAAACCGACATCGTTCGTAACGTATCGAATGTGTTACAAAGAAGCGCCCCCAATATCCAATGTCTTTCTCATTCTTGTGTAACCAGTTGGTTTCTTCATGCTCTCTTCCAGGTCTCATGGATCGGCCCCATATCTTGATGAATTCTAATTCAGTTGGTCTACACGCTCTCCTGCTGTGACTCTGGACATACTAACGTGTGCTTTTTGAAAGGTAGTGTGATCATACCGTGATTTAGCATTTTAGCCTTTGCTGTGGAAAAAACGGAATGAAAGCTCTAGTTTTCAGTAACACTATTCTTTTCGAGATTCATGGTGGATAAGCATACCCTATTTTTACGTGCATTTTTGTTTTTACTAAGATAACTAGGCCTTACCTGGGTTCCAAGTTTGGTTGAATCTATTAACGCCAAGATTATAAGCATCCAGGCCATAGTTGTTACAAATGTCCAGAAAAGAAGTCGAGCGCTGAGTCAAGTTATTCGCCTTATCAAAACTTACCAACATTAACGCTAAGGTTAATGCTCTTTCTCAAGTTTTCAAGGATATTTGTGTCGGTATTTTGCCCTTGTTATGCTTTTTACAACAATGGTTGTCAACCAGCAGATATGTAGAAGACAGAACTGCCATCAACCTGTATGCAGTTTGATGCCTGCGGCAGGTGATCCTGAGACATTTGCGCAGACTTAAAGCGGACTGAGTATACTGAGCCCAGAAAGCCTAATCGCTTGTGGCATTGCCTCCTGGGTGTATCTGAGCTGAAAGATGTTCTTAAGAACGTCGTCAGCATCCCAACAGAAATTAAAAGGAGACCAGCAACAAACCGAAAAAAGGTGAGCCTGTGAGACCCGAAACCAACCCCTAGGTATCCAGCCTTCGGATTTCCGAAGCCGATCAGCGAAAAGAATGCTCAGGCCATTAGACAGCGGCAAGAAACCAGTTTGACGGAAGACACGATTCACCTCAGTAGTGCAGCAACACAAACTGCCCTACAATTCTCCAGCAGGATCTTGCCGTCTACAGATGAGGCGCAAAATAAAACGGTCGCACCGAGCAAGGATGCTCAGGATAGGGAATAGACATCCGGTGTGCTAAATAAAAGCAGTCGGTAGGAAGCGCCGGGAACCAGCTCGGGTAGGATAACGCAGAAATGAGGAAGACTAAAGCCGAATCTCCATGGAGGTCAGACGAATGTCGGATAGTGTGCGTCGCTCACAAGCTCGTCAAAAAAGCGGATGATTCCTTGATGAACATGAATTTTATAGATAATCCTTATCTCCACACTACCTTCAGTATATGAATGATGAGGTTCCATTGGGAAACATACGGAAAACTTAAGCTGGACTACATTAGGCCAGTAGCTGCAACTAGGTCCTCATACGATCCGAATCCGACAATTGAGAACAAGCCCTGACTAATGGGGTCAGAGTTCTCTAACTTGGATGATGTTGAGGATGTTCTCTCGGCATCTTGCGTGCCCAAAGCTGAAGAGGAAGCAAAGATATCCCATGCCCCTAGAAAATGGCTTTGATGACTCTCAGGCCACAATGGTGAGGCATACTTTAAAGGAAGGGACCTGATAATACAAGACATACCTGAAAATCCACGCACCAAGGATGTTCGCTGCGATTCTTGCAAGCGGGAGTCCGTCAATAGTACCATGAACCTTAAGGGAATAATAACACAGAGCGTCTGACGGCCGCCCAAAATAGACGATGACCCTAGATGGAGGCCGGTCGAAGTGGGCTTTCCAACCTCTCAAATGGCACCATCCGCATTGGAGGCATTCTAAGCGAACGGAAATAGCCCTTGCTTGGAGTCCTCATGCAGCCTGATGTTTCGCGGAATGAGAGGCTGCAACGAAAAAAGAAAATTTTGGAGCTAGTTGTACCTCTGGAAGGCTACTTAGATGCAGGTAATGAGGACGGCAGGGAACACCATACTGGTGAGCAGAACCTAGGTACGTCAGCAGCCCCTGTGCCTGGGAATTTGGCCAGCGAACTGGACAATAGAGAGGGTTCGGGAATTTCTTTCCAAGTAGATCGCTTAAACTGCGTCTATACGAACCCACGATGCTTGCCGAATAAACTCGATGAACTGCAGGGGCTAGGTGAGGACGCTTATGCCCATCTTATGGGCGTAGCTGAGACATGGGTTTCTCCTGACACAGCAAATCAGGTGCAGGCAGTTGCTAACACTACACTGTTTGGGAACGACAAGGAGGCCGGTAAGGAGGCGTGGGGTAGCACTTTAGGTTGGTTCTTCTCTCACAGCTTGTAGTGCCCAGTAAACTTCGTTATAGTTTCCATCTGTTGTAAATTGTCGGTATCACTGGAAATACGGCGCAAATCTAAACGATGTACAAAACCATGCGACCGGCTTAAGCAATCCTCTGGCAAACAAGGAAACTGAAGACCCTTTCTCAGGTAGCGACTGCTGAGGAGGGTGCCCGAACAGTCGCCTATTCTACGTCACCGACAGAATTTCCGGCATAGAACTCCTGGTAGACACGGGAGCCGCTCTTGGTATTCTCCCTCGAAACGAGGTCGAGCTCCGACACCAAATGTCCACAGTCACGCTTCAGGCGGCCAATAAAATACAAACAGCAACGTTCGGAAAAGGCCATCACCTTGAATCTTGGGTTCAAACGCCAATTCCCTTGGGTGTTCACCGTAGCAGATCTAGATCTCGCAATACTGCGTAAAGATTTTTTGGAGAGCTACGAACTCTTGGTAGACACAAAGAAGCGAAGGTTGACGTTGAAGGAAACTTCTAAATACACAATAGGCAAGGCCAGCACAATCATATCCCCAAACCTGGTACAATCTCCTCCAATATCAACCAGAAGGTTTAGAGATATATTGGTGGATTTTTCAAACCTGACGTCACCCAACGCCCAGACCTCTCACGTAAGTCCCGAGGTGACGCATAGCATAAAAACACATGGCCCTCCTGTATTCGCGAAACCCAGGAGACCAGCGCCGGATAAACTGAAGATCGCTAGGGTTGAATTCAACTATGTGCTTCAGCAAGGCACCATTCGCCTTTCCAAGAGTCAGTGGACTTTCCCATTACATATGGTGCCCAAGAAAATCAAACAGACTGGCGGCCATGTGGTGATTATAGAGCGTTAAACAAACAAGCCATTCCTGATAGGTGCCTAGTTCCTCGTATTCAAGATTACACTAACTGTCTTGCAGGTGCCACTATATTCAGTAAAATAGACATACCACGAAACTCCGGTGGCCGAAGAAGACGTTCCAAAAACAGTCATTACTATCCTATTTGGTTTATACGAATTTGTGCGGATGCCTTTGGGCCTTCGGAATGATGCAAAAACGTTCAAGTGGTATAAACGGGACCTACCACTTGCCAAAGCATATATTGATGACCTGCTGATTGCAGCCCGGATATAGACTCACATGAGAGTCACATACGGGTGGTCTTTCAAAAATTAAACGACAATGGTATGGCGATAAATCAAAGTGTGTTTTCGGAGTCGAGAAAATTCAATTCTTAGGATACACGATTAATGCAGATGGAATATCACCGTTGTCAAAAAAGGTGGAGGCTATCAACCAGTGCCCATCTCTATAACACAACTAAGAGGTATGCTTGGTCTAATTAATTTTTGTCGTCGATTCATACCACAACGTGCACAGCAAATGCAACCCCTAACCGACGCCTTGAGAGGAAATCCTGGGGACTTTAAGCTCTCTGTAGAAGCTATTGAGGCTGTCAATGAACTGGAAATGGCTTTGACAAAGGCTACAACCCTAAAATACCCCGACGTCAGTGTACCATTAGCACTGATAGTCGATGCTTCCGACAAGACTGTGGAAGCAGCACTCAACCGGTTTGTAAGCAATCAATGGCAGCCAGTGGCACTTTTTTCAAAACGCCTTTCCCCACCCGAGACCGGGAACTGCTAGTGACCTTTCTAGCAATTAAGCATTCCCGTCACATGGTGGAAGGTGGGACATTTACGGTCTACACGGATAATAAGCCTTTAACTTGTGCGCTAAATGCAAAACCTGACAAGTACTCACCGCGTGAAATTCGTCACCTTGATTTTATATCGCAATTACTAGCGATATAAGACATGTTAAAGGTGCACAAAATTGCGTGGCTGACACTCTATCTTACATTAACGTAAGAACTATCCATCAATCTACTACAGATTTCAGGGCTGTAGCAGCAGATCAAGAAACAGATGAGGAATTGAGAAATTTGCTTTCCAATAGTAGTTGTAGCCTAAAACTTAAGCAGCTACCTTCACCTATAGATAATAGGCTCATTTACTGTGATACGACGGGAGATTCACCCAGACCTTATGTGCCTAAAAACATGAGGAAGTTAGTATTCAACAGCTTTCACTCGTTGTCACACCCTTGAGCAAGAGCCCCTACGAAACTTACTGCTGACAGATATATTTGGCCCAACTTACGACGCGACGTACGAAATTGGGTTAAGGAATGTGTGCCATGTCAGCAATCCAAGGTGAATCGACACGCAGTTTCACCTTTGGGAACGTTTTCGCAACCCGATGCGCGTTTCGCACATGTACACGTGAACTTGGTAGGTCCTTTACCTCATTCTAATTTTTTTCACGTATCTTTTCATATGTCCCTGTAATGATAACCACCGACAGAGGAGCACAGTTTGAGTCAGAACTTTTAATAACTTAGCTAAATTTCTTGGTTCTCAAAGAATACGTTGCACAGCGTACCATCCACGATCAAACGGTGTGGTGGAAAGATGTCATTGACAACTTAAAACCGCCCAGATATCACACTCTGATCCCTCTCACTGGACGGAATACCTCCTCATGGCAATGTAAGATATTCGCACAGCAATCAAGGCCAACTCTCAGTGCTCAGTGGCAGAATTAGTTTTCGGTACCACCTTGGGACTTCCTGGCGATTTTATCAACCCCAAGGTTGAAAGCGACCAAATCGACCAGTCAACCTATGTCGATCGACTTCGACACCAAATGGCTAGCTTAAAACCGGTTGCAACCCGTGAGCAGGCCAGAGCAGTCTATATCCCCAAAG